TGTTCCAACAGGGCTTCCCTGGTGGCGCAGTGGTTGAGAGTCCGCCTGCCGATGCAGGGGACACGGGTTCGCGCCCCGTCCGGGAAGATCCCACATGCCGCAGAGCAGCTGGGCCCGTGAGCCATGGCCGCTGAGCCTGCGCTCCGCAGCCAGAGAGGCTACAACAGTGAGAGGCCCACGTACAGCAAAAAAAAAAAAAAAAAAAAAAAAAAAAATGTTCCAACAAACAAAAGTTCAGGACCAGATGGCTTCACAGGTGAATTCTATTAAACATTTAGAGAAGAGGTAACACCTATCCTTCGCAAACTCTTCCAAAATATAGCAGAGGGAGGAACACTCCCAAATTCATGCTACAAGGCCACCATCACCCTGATACCAAAACCAGACAAAGATACTACAAAAAAAGAAAATTACAGACCAATATCACTGATGAATATAGATACAAAAATCCTCAACAAAATACTAGCAAACAGAATCCAACAACACATTAAAAGGACTGTACACCATGATCAAGTGGGATTTATCCCAGGGATGCAAGGATTCTTCAATATACGCAAATCAATCAATGTGAGACACCATATTAAAAAATTGAAGAAGAAAAACCATATGATCATCTCAGTAGATGCAAAAAAACTTTTGACAAAATTCAACACCCATTTATGATAAACACTCTCCAGAAAGTGGGCATAGAGGGAACCTACCGCAACATAATAAAGGCCATATACGACAAACCCACAGCAAACATCATTCTCAACGGTGAAAAACTGAAAGCACTTCCTCTAAGATCAGGAAAGAGACAAGGATGTCCACTCTCACCACTATTATTCAACATAGTTTTGGAAGTCCTAGCCATGGCAATCAGAGGAGAAAAAGAAATAAAAGGAATACAAATTGGAAAAGAAGAAGTAAAACTGTCACTGTTTCCAGATGACATGGTACTATACACAGAGACTCCTAAAGATGCCACCAGGAAACTACTAGAGCTAATCAATGAATTTGGTAAAGTAGCAGGATACAAAATTAATGCAAAGAAATCTCTTGCATTCCTATACACTAATGATGAAAACTCTGAAAGAGAAATTAAGGAAACACTCCCATTTACCACTGCAACAAAAAGAATAAAATACCTAAGAATAAACCTACCTAGGGAGACAAAAGACCTGTATGCAGAAAACTATAAGACACTGATGAGAAAAATAAAGATGATACCAACAGATGGAGAGATATACCATGTTCTTGGATTGGAAGAATCAATATTGTGAAAATGACTCTACTACCCAAAGCAATCTACAGATTCAAAGCAATCCCTATCAAATTACCAATGGCACTTTTTATGGAACTGGAACAAAAAAATCTCAAAATTTGTATGGAGACACAAAAGACCCCGAATAGCCAAAGCAGTCTTGAGGAAAAAAAAATGGAGCTGGAGGAATCAGACACCCTGACTTTGGACTATACTACAAAGCTACAGTAATCAAGACAATATGGTACTGGCACAAAACGAGAAACACGGAGGAGATCAATGGGAGGAGATAGCAAGCCCAGTGATAAACCCACACACCTATGGTCAAGTAATCTATGACAAAGGAGGCAAAGATATACAATGGAGAAAAGACAATCTCTTCAATAAGTGGTGCTGGGAAAACTGGACAGCTGCATGTAAAAGAATGAAATTAGAACACTCCCTAATACCATACACAAAAATAAACTCAAAATGGATTAGAGACCTAAATGTAAGACCAGACACTATAAAACTCTTAGAGGAAAACATAGGAAGAACACTCTTTGACATAAATCACAGCAAGATCTTTTTTGATCCACCTCCTAGGGTAATGGAAATAAAAACAAAAATAAACAAATGGGACCTAATGAAACTTAAAAGCTTTTGCACAGCAAAGGAAACCATAAACAAGACAAAAACACAACCCTGAGAATGGGAGAAAGTATTTGCAAACGAATCAACAGACAAAGGATTAATCTCCAAAACATATAAACAACTCATGCAGCTCAATATTAAAGAAACAAACAACCTAATCAGAAAATGGGCAGAAGACCTAAATAGACATTTCTCCAAAGAAGACATACAGATGGCCAAGAAGCACATGAAAAGCTGCTCATCATCACTAATTATTAGAAAAATGCAAATCAAAACTACAATGAGGTATATCACCTCACACCAGTTAGAATGGGCATCATCAGAAAATCTACAAACAACAAATGTTGGAGAGAGTGTGGAGAAAAGGGAACCCTCTTGCACTGCTGGTGGGAATGTAGACTGATACAACCACTATGGAGAACAGTATGGAGGTTCCTTAAAAAACTAAAAATAGAATTACCATATGATCCAGCAATCCCACTACTGGGCATATACCCAGAGAAAACCATAATTCAAAAAGACACATGTACCCCAATGTTCACTGCAGCACTATTTACAATAGCCTGGTCATGGAAGCAACCTAAATGCCCACTGACAGACGAATGGATAAAGAAGATGTGGCACATATATATAATGGAATATTAGTCAGACATAAAAAGGAATGAAATTGAGTCATTTGTTGAAACGTGGATGGATCTAGAGACTCATACAGAGTGAAGTAAGTCAGAAAGAGAAAAACAAATATCATATATTAATGCATGTATGTGGAACCTAGAAAAATGGTACAGATGAACTGGTGTGCAGGCAGAAGTTGAGACACAGATGTAGAGAACAAACATATGGACACCAAGGGGGGAAAGCTGCGGTGCGGTGGGGATGGTGGTGTGATTAATTGGGCAATTGGGATTGACATGTATACACTGATGTGTATAAAATTGATGAATAATAAGAACCTGCTGTATAAAAAAAGAAAAAAGAAGAAGAATGGAAAAGGTTGAGATCAGCAAAGTAAGGAACAAGAGTAGAAGATGAGTAAACAGGACACAACTCGTGTCTATGAAGACCCAGATGTGGGGTGGTGCCAGAAGTTGACAGGGTGAGATATGGCCAAAACCCTGACCTCAACCTTGACCAGGGCCTGGCTGGTCTCTGTGGGTATCACAAAAGCCACCAATGGTTCCAAACACTCGTGTTCTTTTACTCCATTTGTGAGCATTTTCTTTAAATAGACTTTTATTTAAATAAATAATCCCTTTCTAAGAATTTGTCTGGCAAAGCAAAGTTTTCATCAAGAGCAAATTAAAAAACAGAAGCTCATTGCAATGGAAAATTTATTAATCCTGTTCTTTAAGCTCAGAAATGATTCCTAAGACTGTGTTGGAAGGGCTCTAAGAGCTCATTTGCTTCACTCTAACCCCACAGGACTCTACTTATGCCCTAGAAATAACACTAGCCTCTCTGGAGAAGACAATCTCAATTCCAACAAGCTAGAGAAGACAGTTACCAAAAAAAAGTAATCTTTTTAGTAAATCTACCCTTTACTAAACCTTAATTGAGGATGTGCTTTTGGATGTTTACTCGGAAGCTTTTAACTGGACCCTCTGTCCTCTGGTTCTGTCCAGGAGGAAAAGCTAGTTTATGACGTATTTATAATTATTCTTCAAATAACAATTAGTTCACCCTTTCTACCCATTAAAGACTTTCTTCTTGGGTCCAATTCTATAAATTCCTAGAAAAATAGACATAACTTTTCAGTAGCCTATCAAAAAAGATAGACTATAAGCAGTATCCTGGTTAGAACTAAAGAGAAATGCTTGGAGCTCTTATTCATACATATAAAATGGATTTATTTAAGGTGATTTATTAAGGGTGATCTGAATAAACTTACATACTACCAGAACTAATTAGTTGTACTTTATTTAATATAGGTTAATATTTTCCTTTCTCCCTTACACATCCCATGTGGGTCTCTCCCCAAACTGTGTGTCATCATTGGTTTTAAACTAGTGTTTCAGATAAACTCCATACTTCAGTCACAAAAGAAATGATACCCACCACTGATCATGTACTGAGCTCTTACTACGTGCCAGGTGCTTTACAAAGATCTCAAGAATCTTCACAACTGTCTGTGGGATGTAAAATATGGCAATTCACCTTGTAAATAAATTAGAATGATTCTCTTTGGACTCTACATGAAATTTTTTTTCAACTAAAATGTTTTTATTACACAAAATTTTATAAAAATTGAAAAATACACAAGTTATATAAAGTAAAAAGGTAAAGCTCCCTCTACCCCCACCCTGCCTCTGTACTCTTTCTATTCCTTAGTACAGAGTTTGGAAGGTTTATTTTTATGTATTAAGTAGGTCAGCTGTGTTTCCCATTCTTGGATAAGTGGCCTTCTATAGGAGACATTCTATGGGGCCCAGCAGCACACTCCCCTCTGGGCACCAGGGCTATATGCGACAGAAGTGACCCTCTGTGGGCTGCATGGGCCTTCAGTTGCGGCGGGGCTGACTGCTGTGGGTGCGCTGGTGAGTGCGGCTGGACCCCGGCCTGGTTGGCTGCCAGCCCCTGCCTCATGCAGTGACTACTGGCCCACTGTGGGTGGGGACACATAGTATTTTTAACTCATAGACACTGATAGATAATAAATAAAATAGCTAAAATGAGATTCTGGATTATCTGAAAGTTAATTCACATCTCCTGCATTAAATATTTAATCACATCCACTATAAAAGTTAAATCATCAGATGTGTAGCTTCCTCTCTGCATCCTTATCCCTTCCTGAAAGACACACTTACATTTTTTTACAATGGACAAAAGAAGAGTGGCAGAAAGAGAGTGAAAAGCAAGTCACATGGGAAACTGACTAAACCAGTTCAGTAACATTTATTTTCCATTTGTAAGGAAGCTTTATGAAAATCTTTGTTTTATTAAATGGATTCACACAGTAACATTTTAAAGGACATATTTAATTCTGCCTAAGTTGCTTCTTCCCTGAATGATTTTCAGCACTTATCAGAAGGATGGCAATAAATATTTTAAATAATATGATAGGCAATGTAGAAAATTCAGGTTTCTCTTTCACAATGCCATTAAATAGGAAAGCAGTAGTACTTACCTCCTTTGCACTCTTAATTTTAGTCAGAAATGTATGCAGCTCCATTGTCTCTGCAAACAGTGCACGACACACTGCCTGATAATGATTTGGTGCCTCTGATGCAGTTGGGAGATGAGCAGCACATAACTACAGAAGAGGAAAATAAAGGTACTTTTTTATTATCTGTGGGGTTTTTGTACCTTAAAAACAGACACACCCAGTATATTCACATTTTCATATCAGACAGCAAGGCAACCCCACAATTCCCATCACCCAAAGCTTAATGCATCACAAGACGACCAGTAAAGTCCACACAATTATATGGAAAAAGTGGACCAGTAACTAACAAACACCCAGCAGCACAGATGAGCTTACTAGAATTAGTTAGCTTCTACTTGAAAACGATAGGGCATATGTAAAAGTTTTGGTTGGGAGTAGAAAGGGAACTACCAATTACTAAGTACTGATCAGAACTCAGGTATTTTAATAACTACCATTTATTGAGTATTTATCATGCCATGTTCGACATGTCATATACACAGCATAATATCATTTACTCTTCAACATAACCCTGAATTAGTACTGTTATATAGCAACAGAAACTAAGGCTTCAGAGGAGTCAAGTGACTTGTCCACAGTCATAAAGTTAGCATAAGGGAGAAGGAGAATTTGACACAGTCCTATTTGATTCTGAAGCCCAGGATCATTCTAATACACAGTGAGTTGTATAATTTAGTAAAAAGAATGTCAGGAAGACATGGGGACCACTGGGAAGATACCTCGTCAGTAGATGGGGAGTGGAGGAAAGAGGGCAGAGGGCAACTGGTGATACTACCAGTCCTAACGTCCTTTACAATACACAGCCCATAACCCCCACAAAACTACTTGTAGGTAAAAGATGCAATTTAACATCACGCACAACAATTTAGAAAAATCAAACACAGCTTATTAGATTGGAAAAGACATCCTGTCAAGAGCCTAGTGCATTTTATTAAAAAGATAATTTTATCTTTCTATAAAATAATAGTTTTGTATCTGTGTACAACAGTTATGTTTTAAGGTACTTCATTTGCATTAACAAGTTGTAAGTTCTCCCTTATTCTTTACTATATTCAGTAAACTTGACATTAATACAATTACTGAAAATACACATTTATTATATTTAATAACGTATCTTTTGGAGAGTAAAAGATATCTTTGTAGCTTATAATATCCTTCACAATGCGTCTTTCTGTTATTTTTTTCATTTGTAATAAGTATTGTATGCAATTTAATAGTTAGATTACTATCTTTAATAAAATACATTCTCAGGAAAATATCTTGAGTTTCAGTAAGAAACTTTTTCCACAGTACCAAAAACAGGATAAGAATTGATTCCTTGGGAGCATGAAAAGCAAAAATCTCACAAGGTTAATTATTCACAAAGTGACCAATGAACAGAGAGTATATATTTTGCTCAATTATTTTTGTACGCAGAAAACAGCTTCCCATATAGAATTATCATTTCCAAGGTTATGAAAGGCATCTGCTACGACTTTCACCTTTCACTAATCCCACAATTTTATATTCCAATTATATGTTCTGAATATGGCATAACATTTTTGACTGTAATTCACAGTAATAAATACATTTTAGGGGGCTTTCCTGTGGCACAGTGGTTGAGAGTCCGCCTGCCAATACAGCGGACACGAGTTCAAGCGCTGGTCTGGAAAGATCCCACATGCCACAGAGCAACTAAGCCCGTGAGCCACAACTACTGAGCCTGCACTCTAGAGCCCGTGTGCCACAACGACTGAAGCCCGCATGCCACAACTACTGAAGCCCGTGCGCCTAGAGCCTGTGCTCCACAAGCCACCACAATAAGACCACACACCACAACGAAGAGTAGCCCCTGCTCGCTGCAACTAGAAAATGCCCGCGTGCAGCAACGAAGACACAACGCAGCCAAAAATTAAATAAATAAATAAATAGAAATACATTTTACATAAGGATTCAAACACATGCATATGTATATGTTTTATACACAAAAATTTCACAAAACAAAACTTACACATTCAACTGATTTCACAACCCACTAACAGGCTGTGCCCTGCAACTTGGAAAACACTGGTGTAAAACTCTAAAATTTTTTTAATGCACATGATATAATCTTATATGTAGAAAATCCACAAAAACTATTAGAACTAAGAAGCAATTTTAGCAAAGTTGTGGGATACATGATCAACACAAAAAAGTTCTATTTCTATATAATACTAATGAACAATCAGAAAATGAAATTAGAAAACAATACCATTTTTTTTAAATAGCAAAAAAATAAAATACTAAGGAATAAATTTAACCAAGGAGGTGCAAGACTTACACACTGAAAACTCTAAAGCATTGCTGAAAGAAATTAAAGAAGACTTACATAAATGGAAAGACATCCCGTATTCATGGGTTGGAAGACTTAATATTGTTAAGACAGTAATACTACACAAAATGATCTACAGATTGAATGCAATCCCTAACTAATTCCCAAAGGCCTTTTTTGAAGAAATGGAAAAGCTGATCCTAAAGTTCATATAGAATTGCAAGGGGCCCCAAATAGCTGAGACAATCTTGAAAAGAACAGAGCTAGAAGACTCAAACTTCCAAATTTCAAAACTTACCTCAAAGTTATACTAATCAAAGTAGTACTTGCATAAGGACACATACAGATCAATGAAATAGAAATGAGTCCAGAAATAAACCCATATATCTATGCTTGATTGATTTTTCACGAAAGCGCCCAGACCATTAAGTAGGGAAAGATTCAACAAATGATGCTGGGAAAACTGGATATCTACATGCAGGGGGGGAAAAAAAAAAAAAGTAGTGGCACCCCTATCTCACACCATACATAAATATTAACTCAAAATGGATCAGGGGGCTTCCCTGGTGGCCCAGTGGTTGAGAGTCTGCCTGCCGATGCAGGGCACACGGGTTCGTGCCCCGGTCTGGGAAGATCCCACATGCTGCGGAGCGGCTGGGCCTGTGAGCCATGGCCGCTGAGCCTGCGCGTCCGGAGCCTGTGCTCCGCAACGGGAGAGGCCACAACAGTGAGAGGCCCGCGTATCGCCAAAAAAAAAAAAATGGATCAGAGACCTAAATATAAGAATCAAAACTATAAAACTCTTAGACGAAACCATAGGCGTAAACCTTCATGGTCGTGGATTCAGTACTGGTTTTTAAGATATGATACCAAAAGCACAAGAAACAGCATATCTTGTTTTATTGCACTATACTGTGCATCGCAGATATTGTGTATTTTTACAAATTGAAAGTTTGTAGCGACCCTGCATTGGGCAAGTATATCAGTGCCATTTTTCCAACAGCATTTGTTCACTTCTTGTCTCTATGTCACATTTTGGTAATTCTCGCAATATTTCAAACTTTTTCATTATTATTACATTCATTATGGTGATCTGTGATCAGTGATTTTTGATATTACTATTGTAATTTTTTTGTTTTTTATTTTGAAATTAAGGTATGTACATTGTTTTAGACATAATGCTATTACACACTTAATAGACTACTGTATAGCATAAACATAACTTTTATATGCAGTGGGGACCCAAAATATTTATGTAACCCGCTTTATTGCAATATTTGCTTTATTGCAGTGCTCTGGAACTAAACCTGCAATATCTCCGAGATATGCCTATAAATGGATAAATCAGACTTCATCAAATTTAAAAATTTTTGTACATCAAAGGACACTATCAAGAGAGTGAAAAGATAATCCACAGAATCAGAGAAAATATTTGCAAATCATATATCTAATAAGGATCTAGTATCCAGAATACATAAAGAACTCAAACTCAACAAAAGATAAACAATCTAATTTAAAAACTGACTTGACTAGACATTTTTCCAAAGAAGGTATACAAATGGCCAAAAAGCACATAAAAAGATGCTCAACATTACTGGTCATTAGAAAATGCAAATCAAAAGCACAATTAGATGCCACTCACATCCACTAGAATGGCTATAAAAACAAAGAAAAAATGGAAAATAAGTGTTGGCAAGAATGTGGAGAGATTGGAACCCTTGTATATTGCTGGTGGGAATGTAAAATGGTGAAGCCACTGTGAAAAATAGCTTGATGGTTCCTCAAAAGTTAAAGATAGAATTACCATGTGATCTAGCAATTCCATTCCTAGGTATATACCCAAAAGAATTGAAAGTAGGTGTTCAAACTAAAACTGGAACACAAACGTTCATACCAGCACTATTCATAGCAGCCAAAAGGTGGAAAGAATTCCAATGTTCTAAACTGATGAATGCATAAACAAAATGTGGTATATTCACAAAATGGAATCTTACTAAGCCACAGAAAGGAAAAAGGTACTGACACATGCTACAACATGGACGAACCTTAAAAATATTATGCTAAGTCTAAGAAGCCTGACACAAAAGGTCACATACTGTATGATTCCATTCATATGAAATACCCAGAATACATAAATCCACAGAGACAGAAAGCTGATTAGTGGTTGCCAGGGGCTGAAGGAGGAAGGATGGGAAGAGATGGGTATGAGATTTCCATCTGGGATAATGAAAAAGCTCTAGAACTAAACAGTGGTGATGGCTGGACAGTATTGTGAATGTACTTAATGGCACTAAATCGTACACCTTTAAATGGTTTAAATGGTAAATCTTATGTGTATTTTACCACAATTTTTAAATGTATAAAAAATTTTAAAAGAACAACGAAATTCCACAAAGTTTCCATTGAGACAGAGGAGAAATAATCCCTCAGAGGAAAAATAACCCCAGTGGTTATTTCAGTGTCAATGTTGATATTTATTTTATTGTGTTTACATGCATCTTCACCTCTAATCCTTACAACAACCCAATTTAGAGATTTAGAATAGCTAAGTAATCTACCCAAGGCCACACAGTGAGACAGTAGAACTGGAAATGAATCCAGGCAGTCTAACTCTAGAGCCCAAGTCCTTATGCACTCCACCATAGAATGAGAGTATATTACTCTTCCATTAAAGGAAATAATGTTCTTGAAGTGCTTAAGCATAGAGCATAGTATACAGTAAGCATGCAACAAAATCATCTTCCACAGTTACCAAAGAGGGGACAGTCTGGGGGCAGAGGGACACAATTAGAAGGAACAGGTTCTGTCCCATATCTATCAACATGCCATTATATAACCTTGGACAATTTA